TTTTATACTTTTCTTTGAAATCTGAATGTCATTTTTATTTTTCTTATATTAGTCTTCTTGAATGACTGAAGAAAAGCAATAAGATATGACGATTACTTTTGCATTTCTCATTCCCTATATTTTCTTTCCTTATAGATTGTTTTGTCTGTTCAACTTTTAATAAATCAGCATTAACTGATATTGAAAAACTGTCTAGTAATTAAAGTAAAAATGTGTTACTCTATTTTTTTAATAAAGTGAATATTTTATGTAATAATGATTTACATGTTTTTTCTTGGTGTTTATTTTCACTGCACCATTCTACTCAAATTCTATTTCATGACATATTTTAGTATCTAAATCCCTCTCTTTCCCCACAAACTAATAGCTCACTCTTTCATCTAAAAAAAAAATCAGTTCTACTCCTGACATCTCTCTCAAACCTTTCAACAACCCTATAAGGTAGATACCATTCTATTTTATAGAAACTGAGGTTCAAAAAGCGAATTGATATTTCTAAGTTTAATAAAGCAAATGCACTGTGTTTGCTTATTTTGGAGGTTGAGAGTGAGGCTAAGGGTTTAGAAGGGGTCACAATAGTCATATTTTTTTACTTTAAATTCATTTATTTAGTTATTCATATGTTTCTGATATGGGGATCCTAGAAACCCTCTTTTATTTTATTTTTATTATTTATTTATTTATTATTATTTTTAGAAGCCTTCTTTTAAATAAGCATCTAATTGATCTTCTGAAAAAGTTTTTTATCTTCTCTCTTGTATCTAGACTTTGGCTTGCAAAATTTCCCCACTACTTTCTGATCCTCGTTTGCTGTCAGTGTGTTCTCATATTTTGAGGGAACCCATTGTATTTTATCAGGATACTTGCCTGATCTGACTCTTGTTTCATCAAGTGGAAAGAGAGTATTTGACAAAAAATGGACTAAACATATAATGATTTTTGAGAAGGAAAAAAAAATCTACGTTCTGTGGGAATACTTAATCAATTTGAAAGTTAGTCTAATTTTGCTAAAGATTTCTGCTAAGATAATTCTTACTGCTGCAGGTGCCAGAAAGAGTAGAGTAAAATCATTTACCTCACTCTTGTGGTATCTAGTTGTCTCTCACTAGATCCATGAAGGAACCCCTGGGAGGATAACTGGCATTCTCTTGGATGCCTAGGATATCACTTAGATGCCTAAGAACATGCGTTAAACATCTATATCTGTGCCATTGTTCCTCAGAATCTCCAGTGTGAGAAGGGTGTTTTTATATCCATGCTAGTCACCTCCTCTGATGCCCCACTGTACCTAGTTTTCTCTGTGTTCTTACCAAGTCTTATACTACTAAACAGGCATATTCCACCACTGTCCTACAACTAAGACAAATATAAAAGACCCAGGAAAAGTCTCAGGTTCAGAGATTACTATGTGGTGCATTAACTAAGTTTTCAAAAGTAGTATTATTTACATTCTTAAACCAAGAGCACAATGATTCATTGTTATGTAAAATGATTTTTCAGAATCACCTGGTTTTTGCATAGTAATTCTGATTTGAGCAATTTTGCTGTACTGGATTTAATTTAAGATATCCTGCTATTACTAGATTATTACCTGGCTTTTTCCTTCTGTTTCTGATCATGAAAAAAGGAAAAAAAATACACAGTGTTTTCCAAACTTATTTGATCATGAAGTGTGCGTGTGTGTGTGTTTAGTTTGGGCATAGAGAAATAACACATTGAGACTGAAGCCGAAGGAGTCATGTTGACAAGGAGAAAGGTGCCACAGTGTTTTAAAGACTGGGAAGAACCTGAAGCTAGCTTCTCTTCTTGAACTTATTTTGAATGGTAGTCTGAATATCTAGTTCACCTACTTTTCTCAGGAGTCTTGGAAATTTACCAACCAAGCCATAATTCCCATGGAGTGAACAGCTGCCTTATAGACATCATCTGCATATTTAAGATCTATATTTATCTGGGCACCAATGGTATCAAGTGAGATCTTTACAATATGATGAGAAGTGGGTCCCTAATTAATTTCATTGTGAAATTTCCAAATCGGCAACCTATATGTTATCCAGTTTATATATTAGTTTTAAATAATCCAACTATTGATTGATTCTGACTCTTGCGGAAGTAATTTAAACACATCTGTGATTTAAAAGTTATTGCCAATTATTGATAAGCATTAATGAAGGTAGAAAAGATTAGCTTCAAATGATTAAATATAATAAACATGGAAACAAGATCTGAATGGATTATGTGCTATTATCGAGAATAATTATTGATCTGTATACAGGTACAAAATATTTATGTAATCCTGATAGTAGATAATATGAACACTTTCAAACTCACATAATGAAGTAGCTCCTTTTCCTGACATGGAGTTTGTCACCCTAGATAAATTCTCCATGGTGTCATAAGAAACCATGAGTGAGAAAAATCCTAAACATTTGAATATTAAATATAATAATAAAAAAAAAGCAGAAAAAAGTCTTCCACCCATCTCTGCTAAGTTCCCAGGCTTAGTTTAAAGATCGGAGATAAAATCAACCACTACATGCTGATCCATGAAATTTCTGTGACTCCCAATTGGCTCTTTTTCCTTGATAATTAAATGCTAGAAATATATATATATAGTAGACCAAAATAAACTAACCCAGATTATCTAAAACTGGGCATAATAATTCCTTTTAGAGGGCTTGTACACAGAAAAAATAGATTGCTTTATAAAAATGGCGTGAAAAATGATGATGAAATATTGCTTATTTTTATAATCTGTGACAAGAAATGAAAATACCATTTTTCTGAAACCCAGGTAAGGACTCATTTTTATCATATGCCAGAAGGAAAAGCATCTTTCATAAAATTGAATACCTGCCTACAAATTCCAAATCTGTGTTTACATGGATTTAAGGACTTCAGGTAAACCTTTTGAACAGGATGGAAATCTCCTTAGACATGATCTAGGGGGGATTAACAAAGCCTGAGCCACACACATCCAACCTATGTCATACCTGTGTAATGACAACAGCTTCTCTCTAGCTCAGCAGTTCTCAGACTTTAGCTTGTACCAGATTTACCTGGAGATGAATCACACAAACACAGCCTGATTCCCCCACTCCTAGAGTTTCTGACTTGGTAGGTCTGTGGTGGGGCTTGAGAATTTTCATTTCTGACCCATTTCCAGGTGATGCTGATACCAAAGACCACAGTGGAAATCATTGTTCTAGCTTAAATTCTATAAGAAAGAGTTACATATATATATATATATATAAGAGTTACATATAT